TTTCAGGACAAAATATGCTCGATTTGCGCAATTGCATCTCCAATATCGGTAAGATGTTGAAACTTGGGACATACAAATTTGAGGATTTTATTAGTTGATATGTCATTGATGCAAATTCTGCAAGCATTTAGTGATATTCATATGTTGCGGGGACGTAGATCTTTTTCTACAGAATAAAAGCTGCCATAACTCGCTTCGAATTCCACTCTATTTCATCCATTTTTTTTTCACCAAGCCATGACATTACCGGTACCTGTGTATGAATTTCATCAGGATTTTGTGCAAACGGCTTCGTATTACAGATATCTATAGTAACTGGTGCGGAATGAAGGTACCTTACCATTCACTACAGGCATGGAATTAAAAGATGTACCTCCATGCTCCAGGCTATGGAAAATTCCGCTGCGTTTGTCTGTCCACTGATCTGTCATTACATGACGTCAGACTTCCAATCAATGAAAAGATCACGCGAGGCCTTTTGTTCGTATTAATCGCTTTCAAAATACTAGTAAAAATGCAATGGCAGTATGGTGCATATTTCAACAGCGCCACATACAGGAAAAGAGATAAACTTCGTATACACAATTGTACACAACGTAATATGTTGTTGTGTTCTTGTATGGAGGTATACATGTACCTGCATGGTTCTTGCCGGTTCGAGTCCCTCCTCCTATTCGAACGCACATGTCACACCGGCATACATGTGAGAAGCACGTGTTACCCTGTCGGACAGTGGTCATTACAACTTACAAGACATCGTCAGAGCCTCTGCCGGGTACCTGCTGGAAACCGAACAATGAGGGAGCCCCCATGACCCCTGCAGGGCAGTGTGAAGGCAATTTTTGAGCACGACAGCCGGTGCCCGGCGGACCCCAGAGCCCGTACATGTACTTCATGTCCTGTCTCTCAGATATACATATTATGTTATTAGTATTAAGTAGAGATATACCCTTGGGTTTGAATATAAAGTAGAACTTTATGTTAGCACATGGCTTTACACCATTCAGTACATTCTTTGTCGGTTTGCAATTAGCCAATATCTCTGGCTATGTACAAGACGGCAGAATAGACGCGTGTCTAGAAACTGCAACTCACAAGGCACTTACATAACTTTGAAGGCACAAACGCTTCTGTCTATCTAGATGTAGAAGTCACCGTACCTCATTCTGTAGCGTGCGCATCCTATCTAGTGGCCCTTGGTAAGCTATGCCTACGCGGTAAACAAAATGCATATTAATTTGTATACCATAATTTTTGATTGATGTTGCAGAAAGAAAGAATGAGTCACCATAGCAACGGAGACAGCACCGTGGAGAACGGTCACGTGACAAAGGAGAACGGCAGTGTTTCCACGAAGATAGGTGACGTCATCAAGGAGAACAACGACGTCATCACTCGTGACGTTCCTCCTGCCTTGATGCCCGTTGTGGCGGGTCTCACCTCTAAGCGCAAGCGCGTGCCCTACTGGTATCTGTACGACACTAGAGGGTCGGAGATTTTTGAGGAGTATGTGTTCATTGTGTTTTCATCATTACCTTCTCCAAGTAGGCCATGCGTTTTGTAGCGTTTTCTTTTTGTAATGGTGTAACAGTGTTTGTGGTTGAACAGCATACATGTGCAGTATAATAGCCTAGCTATTAATTCAAGAAGCTATGGATGGCAAGCTGTGATATCGAAGAACTTTAGGTTATGGCCATCTGGCAGATTTCCTTGGTACTTCGTCATGTTACAAGAGTCATATTGACTCCTGTTTTGCTTTCGTGGTTCGCCTGACTCTTTCTAATCTTCTCTTTTAGAGTGGTGACAACATCTAAGACGTACACTGTATGGAAGAATGAATACAGCGTGCTGCAGAGGCACAGCGACGACATTGCCTCCAAGGCGACTTCCCCTGTTGTACTAGTCGACCTCGGCAGCGGCGCTTCGTCCAAAACCCGCCTGGTCATAGAGGCCATGCTCAAGCGCCACGGAACGCTGACGTTCGTACCGGTGGACGTGTCCAAAGGTAATACTGTTTAGATTTTTCTAAAAGCTAAGTTGCGCTTTCCACGCCGGTCTCTTCAATCTGCCCCGCACCCACCAGATAAAAACTTGGATTGCTTAAAGTCTATTTGAAAGTAGGTCTTTTTATATTCCAAAAAATGATTTTTTTTTTACCTTGCCGCAGAACACATCGAGGAGGTCGGCAAGCAGCTGGAGCGCGACTACGAAGGACTGACGGTGGAACCGTTCGGGGGGCTCTTCGTGGATGGACTCCGATATCTCTCCACCCGCCAGGAGCAGAAAGTGATACTTTTCCTGGGCAACAGCTTCAGCAACACCTGCATCTACGAACAGGTGGACCTGATGAAGGAGATCCGGGCACAGTTTACGGGTAAGCAGTCATCGGTTAATTTTATAGACGTAAAATCATGTACTAGATGTTTGCTTAGGAGGTTGGGGAGCGGGATTATAGTGGCCTGCCAGGAAAGCTTGGAGAGTTGGTAGGGTGGATAGATCCAAAAAGGCTACCGGTTATCCAAGAACGATGAATTTAATATGCCAACAAGCTTACGCTATGTTATATTGAATGAATGTTATAATTTAACGTCAAGTGACCGTTTTTCACGGCTTAACGTTTTCAGTGTAACACCAAATTTGCGCTTGTGTTCGTTCGCCAACAACTAGATGTGTTTTGACTTGTAGCCAAGGATCGTTTCGTGATGGGGCTTGACATGAACGTGGATCGGGAGTCTCTGTTGAAGGCCTACGGTCAACAATGGGTGACCTTTCAGAAGGACAATCCCATCCGTCGCCTGAATGAGGTAAAGGAAGGTGGATATTTGTGGTGCTTCTTTGACAGGTGAACAAGGTAGATGGTGGATTGTTTCAGCTTTGCAGGTGGAGGAAGCGCTCAGTAATTGACAGGTGACTTACTTTGGCCTGTTGTCCATCTTTGGTTCTCTTTATCTCTGGCCCCTTTCTACCTGCTGTTCTTATCTGTAGCACATCAAGGTCTAACCTCCACGTGTTTTTCGATCTTCCCTCCTTACGCTTTCCACGGGGTTCCATTCTGGTGAAGGCCTGTCTCGTGATACCTGTTGCCGGTTAGGGGAGTTTATTTACTTCTTGTCGCCGTGTCATTAACACTTGGTATATTTGTACCCAACTCCAGGACTTCGATGGAGACATGGATGCGGCGAAATTTGAATTCATCAACGACTTCAAGGAGAATCCGGCAGATGGGGACACTCCCAGCTATGTCACGGGGTACTGGAGGAGCCTCGCAGCACAGCGCGTGAACTTCCGTAAGTTCTGGATATGACTTTGATATCGAATTTTCCGTCACCTACAAAGCGTTTTCACTGGCAGGTGATAAGAGCCGTGTAGGTGTAAGCGTACACGGCATTTTTTGTGATTTCTTCAATATTCTTCTGGCATTCTTTTCTTTGGGTTGGAGACATCTAATAGTATTTATTAAGATGATCGGAAGACGTATTGATGTCCTTGAAAATGCTTAAATTGTGAGTCACTGAAATATAAATACTAATATTAATACACAAGGTGGCTGACACAGCGATGACGTTTCGTTTTCGTTTAACATTGTTATTATGATGTAACTGCCAAGGTGTGTTCTGGACTTGTCTTCTATCAAGCAAAGAGGTGCGTAACTGACAAAATGGTTGTTCTTCAGGCAAACTCGGCCTCAACCTCGACTTCCAGAGTGGAGAGAAGTTTTTCTTTTCGGACGGGCCGAACTGGAGCTGCAAGTGGAACCTGCACCAGATACGCCGCCTGGCGGAGAAGAGCGGCTTTGCACTGGAGGACTACTGGACCAACGACGCCGAAGATTGTGGGCTGGTGTGCTTCGCACCCGTGCCGTAGACGGCTGCCCATGCAATGACGGGAGTATTTATAGTTTGGGGTCCGTTTTAGAATCCTATTCTGCTTATCCCATTAAAAATAATAACAATATCAACAACAATAACGACAAGTTCGTCTCTGTTAATCCCCTGCCCTCTCCGTAATGATTTGTTTGTGAGCCCGCGAAGTACACGTATTAGAAATAGTATGAGCGGACAAGAGTTACAATCTTAGTTATAAGGTTGGAAGGAGAGATCTTTTGATTATATATCTACGTTCTTGTCAGTCGATCCCTAGTTGGATCCTAAGCTACATGTATGCTTTGATAGTAGTTTCAGTTTCAAACTTTACTAGCACGGAATTTAGGAAATCTGATTGCGCCTGCTACTATATATCAGTCATTTTCTCTGTCGACAGGTTTGGCTTTTTGTGAGGAGGTGAAGTCTGCTGTTTCTAATTATTTTGTTGTAGGGATGTGCTGAAGACGTCTCACAGACTGCTAATTGTCGCCTTGTAAAACGTCATTGCTTAATTTCAATAAAAACATGCTAGGGGCTGACGTTCATGTTGTCAACTTTGTCAGTGTGAGAGGGCAAAGAAGGAAAGATGGCGTTAGTTATCCCTGGTATACAACTTACATATACTAATAATCGATGAACCATGAATGTTCCTCAAAGATACGTAATCATCATAGTCAGGCAAAAGGGCACAAGAAATCAGTCTTATTTTGCAAGCCAGTGACTACGTGACACACGAAACTGGGTGGGGCCTGTATACCAGTAACTTATTAAACAACCGATCGCCGAGCGAGAGCGAGAGAGATAGAGAGAAAGAGAGAGACAGAGAGAGAAAGAGACAGACAGACAGACAGAGAGACCACACACACACATACACACAAAGAGAGAGAGAGAGAGAGAGAGAGAGAGAGAGAGAGAGAGAGAGAGAGAGAGAGAGATACACATAGGACAAAAAACAAAACAATACCCAGCTCTGCTTACCGACCTCCTCGATGTGTTCTGTTATTTTAAAAAAAGGACCAAAAATTAAACACCTGTAAAGTTACAGTACATGAATCTCGCACCAGACGCTGGGAAGAAAAATATTTTCTGGCGGTCCAGGCTTTCCAGCTGGTCACTATCATGCAAGGCTAAGTAAAATCAATTCCAAAGGAAAAGAAGAACATGTGAAGACTTTATGAAAACGAAGAGCCACATAGCACCTTATCAACAACATGAGCCACACCGCAAACACCAACACGGAGTTATGTTGAATTTATTCTTCCATGGTCCAATAATCTTCAAGCATGTGTAAAAGATCGTAACATTTTCTCATGGCGAACTTCTATCATAGTCAACCAATTCTGTATCTGTATCTGTATAGCCGGTATAACCGCCTTTCGGCGTAACACACCAGCTATACTAGTATACGGTTGTCCTCCCCACACAGATACGTTACTCGTACTCGTCGCCCTCCCCACTCGGTACGTGGCGGTTTACAAGACAGTAAAAATTGATTCAAAATCTAAAAATGCCACCATTTATCGGTTTTACAAGTCCACAATACGTTCAAGTATTACTTGTGGGCTAATCTAGAACAAAAATCCAAGCAAATTAGTACAATAAGACGTAAAAATGGGAAAATACTCGGGAGCTCTCGTGTTTGCTGCCGCTCACCTCCGCGCCTGCGCACTCATATGTTGGGATGAGTAAACTGACAGAGAATCCCGGCGGACAGAAAACGTCACGATGTTTCACCTAACATCTGCTTGGAGATTTAGCAGGTGTTGAGACCAGAAGGGTCACGGAAACAGTACCCGTGACTACTTCACATGCGCGCTGTGCGTCATAGCTCATTTGCATGAGAAAAGCCAAGCCAAACTTATTTGTGACGCTTCCTGGTTCACTTACATAGCTTATTACCGCCATATCCAGCAGTTTGACCGTCTCTAGCGGTATCAGAGAGGTAAGGACACTTTCAAACATAAGTGTATGTATATTTCTGAACATAAAACTAGCGATTTCCTGCTAAATTGAGGGTTTGTTTAATTGGCAAGCCGGTGCTAAAAAGTTTTGGTGTGTGGGAGGGGGGCGTAGTCTTAGTGTGACACCAAGTTGTGATATCATACTTGACAACAGCTTTTATCGACCTGGTGTGTGTTGAACATTTTACTTTATATTGTCTGCTGCAGTGCATGTAATGTACGATATATAAGCCGTCATTGTTCCGTGGAATATTTATTAGATGTAACGTTAAAGTTATATAACTAAGTATTGAACATTGTATAGCATTGGAATTACATTTAAATGTACTAGTAAGTATACTTTATTTCAAGCCTTTTCCTGCTTTAAGTTACCGGACTTGTGATTGTAACGGGACATGTTTGTAACTGCTGACACCATGTTCCATGAAAAGTAAAAAATGCATACATTATGCTCATGGGCTTCTGACTATGAACTGCTTGCCTTTTAAATTAGGATTTATTTCAAAAGCTTCCTCCTCTTTTTTACTTCAACTTAGTCAGTTAATGTTAAGTTACAGCTGCAAGTGACTTTCATGTACAATCATGTACAAAGCCCTTGTAACTTTTGTAGCAATAATAAGGTATCAAGATACTAGTAATGTTTACAAATAGGTTACAAATTTACATGTACTAGTATCTGTTTTTGGAGTAGTAACAGTTAACACATTTTTTTGCATTAACCTTAATTTGTTCGTGGGCGTTTCTCATACATTGTTCACAGATACATGCTGTTGTTTACCTTTAGCTCTCGGGCAAAGATTAGGTGGAGTGTAACCTGGAATTCAGCCTGATGCCAGGGCCCACACGTACACAGCTCTAAGTAAATCTAACATAACCCCAAGGAAATTATGCCCAACCCCCAGAAAGGCCCTTTCCCTTATAGACCCTACGAGTCAGGCTTTTGTTCAAATGGAATATAATATCACTTCTATTTCTATCCTGTACAAGAAACAAGAGTACAAATTGAAGTGATGTGCCTACCAAAAAAAAATCCCATCGTAATGAATGAATAAAAGACCTTAGTTTATTGTACGCTTGTGGGGACTGATAAGGACACTACTTTGATTCAGGCAGGCAAAATCACCAGGTGGGCTAATTTGGCCGAGTAGGGATAGTTTACAGTGTCAGTTTACAGTGCCGAGGAATCCCAGTCTATATGCCTGGGAGAGACTGGTAACCAGGTTAGTTGTGTGTACCTCACATATTGTTTGCCTAACCTCAGTCACAGTCTGCTGGGTTTGACGTGAGGCTTGAGCCCTGTACTGTCAGGTACCAGGTGACAATGCGGGGTGTTTGCTTTGACTGGAACATTTGTCCATGGGTGACTGTTCAAATTAACACTTTCTGTTATTGTTGTTTGTTGCCATTGGCCAGGTCACATTATAGAGACTCTGCTAGTAATTTTAGATTCTGTAATCCTAACAAATGCGTGGTGTTGGTCCTAACTTAGCCTTACCCAACCCTATCTCAAACCCTAACCATGACAATTGTCAATGGTGTTGGTCCTATCTTTAGCCCTGTTGAATCCTTCTAAGATGACTCAGATGGTGAAGGACACCTGTACCATAAATAATGTAGGGTTTCACACACACAGGTTACACCTCATTCCAAAAATAGCAACAGAAAACTGACTCACTGTGGTTCACTTCAATGGGTATTCCCAGAAGAGAAACCAAATGACTTTGAATGAGTCATGGCATCTGTATAAAAACACTTGTTGCTAGATCTGCCAGTTACAAGTTATTGGGCATAGGAATTCACGCTGAGTGTAGACTGGTAAGTTATCTCGATCTTTCTTGGACTCTTGCTGTAACTTTACATGTGGAGCAGTCAGAAAAGAGGATACTTGGCATAAATGAGGATAGAAACAGTTCATGCCAGGTTCAAAGTCAGGTCATGCCGATAGTAACAGTCTGTTTCATCTAGGGTATATCCTGTCTCTGGCTCTCTGCTGCACATATTTTTTTATTGGTCAACCGACCCACCTATCATCTGTCAGTACAATTATTGTGAAACTGTGAAAGTACTAAAAGAATGCATATGTATAAATATATATGAACACAAGTAGTGTACATGTACTAAAGGACAGCTATATTACCAGTTCAATAATAGAGTTAGGTCTCAATTTGGGATTCAAAACCTTGTTAGAATTTGTGATCAAAGAAATGTTGTTTGGAATTTGTCTGATTGGGGTGTGGCTTTGTATATCTTGTGTATTGTGTACCCGGTACTCTTGTTGTTTGCCTGGTTTCATCATCTTACTGTACCGCTTCACAAACAGGCAAGACTTAATGAAGATAATGGAATGGCCCTGGTAAAGTGCCAGATGACGAAGAGAAACAAACTTTGAACCTAGTCAGTTTCACACATGTATGTCCATATATGGTTGGGAGATCTTTTATTTCCTTGTACTGTAGATTCACCAATCAAACTGCATTTTATGAATTATATATTAAGTAGAAGCAAAAAGAATAAAATATACGTAAACATTAGTAAAACCTCTAGTACTGAAGTTCAGTGTACTAGAGGTGTAATGTTTAGTGATACGTATACTAGTATTTTCTAGTGAAGTACATCTAGCCAAAATCTTGATTGATAACCGGGTTAGGCAACATGGGAAGGGGTAAAGCCCATACAAAGTTGTGGGAAGTTACTGTAACTGGTTGCAGACCTCTTGACCTTTTCTAATAGCCGTTTGGCCCTCCTGAATCTCATGATGTTAACAGCCTTTGTGTGGAGGAAGGATTGATGCTGGCTGCATCATGGAGTGGATGCTGTTGCCATGGTTACTGCCATTCTATGGCGGGACCTGCATATATTATGTATCTGAAGTGACCCGTTGTGTTGAGAAGTAAACAAAGCAGCCGGATCTACTGAAAACTGTTCGTTTGCAAACTGTGAGGACGAGAAATGTGGAAAAAAGGTTTGAAAATGTTTTCATGTTTTCTGGATGTATATAGGATCCCTTTTGTACTATGTGATTGTACTACAGTACAAAATGTATTTGACTTAGATTTCCAGACCAGTTCTGAGGTCTGCGCTCTGTTCTGAGCCTTTGAGGCATTACCAATGCTATCTACATGTACATACAACATGCCTTCCAAGCAGAGGTTTGAGGGAAAGATTTATACTTAATCTTTGTAAAAAAATTGGGTACCATGAAGAAGGTAAGGATTCCCTCTTCAAGTTTAAACCTCTGCATGACGAGTATAATTTACATTCATGTACAATAGTCCTCTGTCAGTCTGTGTGGTAAGGTCTTGCCCTGGGGCATCATGAGGCCATCGGTTTATATTTAGATATGGTGGTATACTATTAGAGGTCACTGGTGAAGCTGTTTGTTCTTGGGACAGGATAGGAAGGATGTGAGCTATTTTTGAAAACTGTCGACATGTCTCAATGTGCAATTGTTTTCGAAAATCTGTAGACACTGCAGTTTCAGTGTTTCAGCACCAATGTGTTACCAGTAATGTAGGAAGAAATTTAATGAGAAGGAAGGAAGCAATTTTCTGTCTTGGAGATATGATGTGCGTAATAATTATAGGCAAGACAGGATAGAATGTTGACAGTTCTCTGTAAAATATACAGGAAGATGACTTGTTTCCTACGGTAAAATCTTTATAACAGGATGACAAGAGTAAGGAACAATCAAGATAAGAGATAAGTATTCCCAAGTGTGCCACCTTATGGTTACTAAGAAGTGATGGCTTTGTCTTGAGCCCAGATAAAACATCTAGAAGAAAGTGACAGTCGCTCTCAGTCAGTGTTGATGTACAGTACTGGAGGTTGGTCTACTCTGTGGCAGATAATCTTACAGGATCATGAAGAAGGTGCTTGCAATAAGAGGTAGAGGTAAAGATGTCAAGAACTGTTTGTGTAAGTTTCCTTGAGTACTGTACATTCATTTACTTTTATTTTGTGCTATTTTTCACTGAGGGAAAATGAGGTTTTCACTGTATTTTAGACTTGAAGGTTGGCAGTTTTGGAGGTATCAGTAAATGTGCATTTCTCTACCACACCTTTTGCAATACAGTTGATTTACCTATTAGTAAGGATTACTGTATCAGACTGAGTGTGTTGTCAGTCTGTTATTTTCCTGTCTGTTCCTTTTACTGGTCAACAGGCGAACTGTCGGAAGAAAATGAGAACCCAGCATAACACCTGTCCTCGGATTTCTTGGCATTGGCAGGAAATTAACAGGACTAGAATGAAAAAATAATTTCCTTGTTGTGTAGCATTATACGCTTGCTTGCACCATTGACATTTCCACTTGTGAGTCAGGTGGGATTTATGTTGCACGAACATGAGTATCAGGTTCCTTTTGTCAGTTTGTTGGCAAGAATTACGGGACTAAAGCCAGGTGGTTTAATTTCTATACTGTACTGTTTGATTCCCAGCCTGAACAACCTGTTGACCAGGTACTTAGTCTGATAGTGATGCGTCAAGGCATCGGTACAAATTATGACCAGTACTTGTGTTGTAGAGTGTGATTGTGAGGTACGTCTTTTATGTGCATTATACATGATGCCAATTGTATTTGTCATGAGATCACTTGGCTAACGATGGTTTACTTTCTTGACTTTATGTACCAAATCGTCAGCCTGTTGGTCAGTACCATGCATGGTTGTGTACATATACAATTGTTTATGTTGCTATAGTTGTCAGATATTATCAAGCCTGAGTCACATTTCATTTATTTCTGTCTGGTGAAGAAGACAAGATCAGTGTCAGGTTGCTTCTGGCATGGATGTCAGTTTTGTGTACAGCTTTATCTGACTCATGCCTAGTGAGCATGTCGTGTGGATGGTCCAGTCATAAGTGGCCTTGTTTATGGACCGAAAGGTTAAGAGTTCATATCCCATCCATTGTTGCTCACCTGACTATTACACCACACGAGGTCAAGCCACTTATTCCAAGAAGCCAAAATGAATACGTGTATATATTTCCAGGTAAAGCCAAACTTGTGAGCAGTCTGCCAGGTGTTCCGGCCGCCATGTCAGTTCTAGGAGGACCAGGGTTTATCCGAGTGAAGTTGCTACAGGTGGATCCCGGGTCCCTGGAGGTGCCGCCAGGGGAAACATTCGACCCTTACTGTGCTGTCAACGTTAAGGAGGCAGTAGACACCCCAGGTAAGGTTTTTTTTTTCAATTTTAAACTTTCAGGCACACATATAACCCATAAACCATGCCTCAACATTCACCACATATACGTACGTAAAGTCTGTCTTTGCAAATTTTAAAGGTTGGTCTGCCACTATGTTTTGCTCTTGGTCTGTACAGGTCGTGGTTTTGGCTTGTTCTGTTGCTAGAATTTACCCTGTATTTATGTTCTATTATGTTTCTGCATTGTCGATGGTAATATGTAAATACATGTAGCATGTTGTGGTTGCCCGGCAATTATGTGGTGAGGTAAAAACAGGATGTCCTGCTATTTTGGACCAGTTGAACAAGATTCCAATGGATAATTGTACTCTCATATAGATGTACATGTACATGGAGGAATTAGAATATATGGACCATTGTCAAGCATTATGCAGCCTATGTTGACTAATGGTTTGTCTAAGTATGCCAATCAAAATAGATTATTAAATAATGCATGGACTTTTGCATGAAACCAATCTCCATGAAATGCAAATACAATTATACAGTTTCATAGATCTCTACTCTAGGAAGAACTTTAAAAGGACAAGTAGATCTAATAATACATGTATTGTGTTTTCCGAAGGATGAATTCATCAACCACCTGTTGTAAAGAGACGAGCCTTTAAGAGTTTAAAGGGAACTGAATATCCTAAGGAGAAATATGTGGTATCCTTCTATTATGAAGGATGTGTATGTCATGGGGTACAGGGAAAACTGAAATTTCATGGTGTGGAAAAGCATGAAACTTCATTAGTCATGGAAAGTAAGGCCCCCTAAGGCCCACTAGATGGTGATCATTGAGCAACGAAAATTGGATTTGTGAGACCCTTTATTATAATGATGCACATTGACAATGTTTCAAGTATTATTTAATAGGCAACAAAGCATACAAAACGTTGAAAAATCCATTCTTTTTATTTAAAATTCGTTAAGTATATTTGATTAGTGTCAGATTCACAAGAGAAGGAAATTAGTGAGATAAGAAACTCAAATCGTGCTTGAAGTGTGAGTCACCGTGTGACTGTATTCAAATGCACAGCCTCTATACCTGATGGCTAGAGCACTATTTTTCCTTGTCTTAGGTCTGAAGAGAACTGTTATATTTTCCAGGGCGTGGCTTGCAGCTCATCCAGAAGAAGAAGACAATCTACCCAGAATGGAACAGCTGCTTCGACTCCCATCTGTACCAGGGCAGGGTCATCCAGCTGGCCATCATGGCCAAACCAATGAACAAGCTCCTGGCTGAGGTGTCTATAGGGGTGCAGATGCTGGCCGAGAAATGTCAGAAAGGGGACGATAAAATCATCAGCACATGGGTAAGAATTTCAGAGCACAGATAAGGCTGTTGTATAATCTCCAAGCAGATTTGGGGTTGGATGGTTGAAAGACTTTGTGTACAAGCAAATTTCTTGATTACATCAGAAAATTTTATGGCAATATCTCTATTTTATACAGTGGCTTCACATATCAATAGTGTATGGTTACAGATATGTAGTATAGAGCCTTGTACATGTAGGCTCATCATGTACATTTATGTATATAAGCATCAACACCATGATTGCCTATTCATGAATCTCAATTGAGGCATTTCTGATACAGCAAGATAAGAATTAAAGGAAAATGTTCAGTTTGATCTCGAAACATACATGTAGATTATAAATCCAGCTATCTACTCTTTATTAAACATGCTTTTCCCCCCATTCTAGCTGGACTTGAAGCCGTCTGGCCGTCTGTTGGTGCAAGTTCGATACTTCTCAGAGGAAGGTGCGAGCGCTGCTCGAGGAACGCCGGAAGAGGAGGAGCAGTACGGTGCCTTCACACGCCGCCGCATGGCCATGCGCAAGGCCAAGGTCCACGTCATCAAGGGCCACGAGTTCATTGCCAAGTTCTTCCCACATCCAACATTCTGCTCCGTGTGTAAAGAGTTCTTGTGGTGAGGTTCAGATTTTACAAACAAACTTAACTGTAATCGGAGTAACTTTTTCTTCCAGCAATTTCTGAAATGAACACCATAGATATTTTTCCAATATGAATGACATTTCTAAGGAATCCATTCCAGCTTCATGGCAAAGTTGAATGTTGGTGATGTAATTGTGTCTCATTTTCTGATGTACATGTACATATGGAAACTTTTTCTTTTGTTGTAAATATTTTTGTCATTGCTCAGTTTTAGTGCCAATGTATTGGTGTTAACGTTGATTTTGCTAGCTATGTTGGGAATCACTGTCAAAAGTTGATATCGGTTATTGTGTTTCTTCTTCCATTTTCAATGTTTTTGCCATTGCTAAGTACCATAATGATTGGTGCCAGAAACTCAAATCATGTCAGCTCAATTCAGATTTTGCCTGAAGAGTGACTTTATTTTCTTTCTCCACCACTGCAGGGGCTTCAATAAACAAGGATATCAATGTGGAGGTAAGAGAAATTTCATCATATTTAGCAAGAGAATATTGCCTGACTGGCTGTTGTCTGTGTGATTGACTTAAATGCATTATATCTGGATGTGTGGCTCTTCTTCCTAAACGTTTCTTTGTGTTTTTCTTACAGCTTGCTCAGCAGCTGTTCATAAGAAGTGCCACTCCCATGTGCTGGGCAAGTGCCCCAAAACTGCAATAGTTTCTCAGGAGTCCAAGGTAAGGTCTGAAATTTTATTTCTTGTAAATCAGCTATTGTCCTGACATTGTCTCAAAACTGTCCCACCAAAAGTCAAGATACATAGTCTGTATAGAATATTTACCTTCGCCAAGAATGTTATGTTTTCAGGGGCGTTCGTGTATGTGTGTGTGTGTCTGTCTGTCTGTCAACAGGATAACTTGAGAAGGCCTTGATGGATTGTCTTGATACTTGGTAGATGGGTAGGTCTTGATGAGACCTCAAAATGATTAGATTTTGGACCCCCTAGCGGCTTGTTATGGTACTGCAGCTGAACTTCAGGTTTTGATATCTCATGATCTAGACATGCTATGGTGATGAAATTTGGATGGTAGGTAGCTCTTGTGCTGGGGAAGAAGTGACGTGAGTTTAGGCCCCCTAGCAGCTTGCTCTGGAACTGCAGGGATATATTCTTGAAAATATTCAAAAGGGGATAACTCATGAACCAGTTGACGGATCGTCGTCATTTTTGGTATGTAGGTAGCTTACGTGATGCTTAATATAATTATGTGACAATTATGCAAATATGGATGTAATTTGCATAATTTATGGGGAAATTCTATAAATCATCTGCATTCCATGATAGGACAATTGAAGCTTGTGACATTGGTAATTGACGAGAGAAACACAGGAAGATATTGATTATGTTAATAATGACTTAATTTGCATAATTAATTAGAAAATTTTATAATTATGTAATGATAACTGCCTGGAATTTCATACTTGTGGTATTTGAAAGTTAAATTGAGGTGAACATTATTAAACATAATTTATTCAAATCAGGACCTCATTTGCATAATTTATTAGGAAATGCTAGAATGCATTGTTTGTTAATATAAGACTATCTTTTGGTTGAGATTATGATAAAATGATATAATTCATGAAAATTAGGTTCCTATTTCTTAAATCAGGGGGGAATAATCTAATCTATAATTTGTCAGTCATAAAGATTAACATCATTTGGCGAAGGTATGAGATCGGGGAACTCTAGTTTCTATATGTAATGCTATATATTAAAAAACAAGCTGCTAATATAATTTTCCCATGTATTATTTCCAAGATATTAACATCAAAGATATTGATACGTTTTTTTTATTTGTTGTCTCCACAGTTCCTGAAGGAGAGATTTAACATCGATGTACCTCATCGCTTCAAGACCAATAACTACATGAGCCTGACGTTCTGTGATCACTGTGGGTCACTCTTGGTCGGGCTCTTCAGGCAAGGCGTCAAGTGTGAAAGTAAGTGGTTCTACTTTCAAAATATATTAATTCTTGTAAGTGTCGAAAACCTCCTTTCCCTTTAAAAGCACTATGAAAGCAAATTTACAGTACCAATCCTCACACTGGATGTGGAGGGTCCAAACCCCCGTGGCCGCCCCAGAAGAAAATGGTATGACAACGTACGGGAGGACCTCCACCACCTGAACCTAGATAAAATTGACCCACAGGACAGAGGCAAGTGGCGTGCTGCCATCAAGCCCCAGATGTATTGTGCAAGCACGTCTAACCCTCGGAAGACGGGGAACAACAGACGATAAACCGGACAGTGAGTGAGTGAGTGTAAGACTCACATGTTCGCTCCACCACTAACTGCCCCCCTCCCCCTTGCAGCATGTGGTATGAACTGTCACCACAAGTGTCAGGCGAAGGTCGCAAACCTATGCGGGGTGAACCAGAAGCTGATGTCCGAGGCCCTGGCACACATCAGCGCCAAGAAGGGGGCGCCGTCTCCCAGAATGCCCCGTAAGGACGGGGCCGCAGGCGAGGTGTCCCCGCCTCCCAGACCCCCCAAGCCTGGCAACAACCTGGCCGTACCTGGAGAGGTGAGTTGTGGCTGTGTTCTCTGTTATAAACATTGAAGTTACACCAATCAGCACTTCTGGATCAGAAACCAGAAAGGTTATGATTCTGTCTGTTACTGCTTACTAAATTTGTATGCTGCTGGAGAATACTGTGTTCAGGAGGGTTGGCTTCATTCTGTGGAGTAGGCAACACTTAATATAATTGTCACACTGTAATATGCATCTGATTCAGTATTTTGGAATTCCCTCTCCATTGTATCATTGTGATTAACATAAGCATTAGTTGCTAGATGGATAAATCTAACATGACACCTGTTCTGTAGATTCCCAAGATGGAGGCAGACATTGATGATGATGAGGGTGTGTATGAGAAGATGTGGGAAGTGGAGCTGCCCCCCCTCCCCCCACGGTCCACCAGTCTCAGAAAACCTCTCAGGAACTTTTCTGAAGAAGACTTTGTGTTCATGAAGGTGTTGGGCAAGGGCAGCTTTGGCAAGGTGAGCAGGAGAATGTAGTGTTTTTTTTTATGGGGATGAAAGTTAAAAGACTGAGATGCTGTCCCAGGCATATCCATGTAACTTTTAACCTTGAAGTGGCCTTTGGGTCATGACATTTCAGTAAGAATTAAAAACTCATGATTTATTTTTGAAGGCTCATTCATCACACAAAGCTAAGAATCTGAAATTCTAATGCTAACTTCAACATATTGAACAAGCAATACAAGCACCCTGTATTTGAGTCCTGTAATGTTAATCATCATCTTCTTCCCCAGGTGATGCTTGCAGAACTGAAGGGTAAGAAGGAGTACTTTGCTATCAAGGCCCTTAAGAAGGAGGTTGTCCTGGCTGATGATGACTTTGAGTGCACCATGGCGGAGAAGAGGGTTCTAGCGTTGTCATGGCAACACCCATACCTGACACACCTGTATGCCACCTATCAGACCAAGGTAGGTCAACTTTCAGAGCTCAAAATTTACAAGCCTAGCTCAGACATGTGAGGGATTGCAATCACCATTTCAGATCTGCCTTAATTATACATTGTACTACTGATCATGTTTGCCTTTTCTTATAATCTTATTGTTGTAGTTTGTACACATAGGTGATGTGAAGATTTTTTGCCATGTAGTTATACTGTTTTCCCTTTCCCTTAGGCACACTTGTTTTTTGTGATGGAGTATCTAAATGGAGGTGACCTGATGTTTCACATACAGAAGTCTCGCAAGTTTGATCGCAAACGAGCTCAGTGAGTACAATCTTTCTCTCCTTCACTTATTTTGGATTTCTAGCATTCCAGTTAAACCAACTTGAAGTTACTGTGTCCAAAACATTCAATACAGGCCAGCACTGCTAAAGCTTTCAAAGGTTTAATGACTTTACATTGTTACCTGCAGGTTCTATGGAGCTGAGATCACTCTTGGGCTGCAGTTTCTCCACGGAAAGGGGATAGTGTACAGGTGAGGTGGAATTTAGGGTCAGGTTTTTGACAAAATTTGTTTTATTGACATCAAAATAGTATGACTTTATGAGCTTTATAGCCACAAATAATAGCATGTGGTGAAGACCTGAATGGTTTGTTAATTCTACAATGCTTTGTTTGTAGTTAAGCTCTATTTTGGGTGGATTTTGTTTCCCTTCAGATAAAGCTTTCAGGAGTATGATTGTAATGATCTTTTATGTACAGTGGTTCCTAGATCTTTCATGTAAGTCTAAACTTTTGATGTCTGTTGTTTCAGGGACCTGAAGTTGGACAATGTGCTGCTGGACAAAGATGGCCACATCAAGATCGCAGACTTCGGCATGTGTAAGGAGGGCATCACTGATGAGAAGAGAGCTGTCACCTTCTGTGGTACACCAGACTACATCGCTCCTGAGGTGGGTTGGATAGACCTCTATTGTTTCCTCATTAGTAGAATGATTATCAAGTATATTGAGTTTGAGCAAAGCTTACAAATTCAACTACAGCCACCAGAGTGTATGACCTGGTTAGCTAATTAAGTGAAATCATATAATAGTATGTATCATGCAATAATTGATGAAACATACCCGGACAGACGACTTGTGAAAAAATAAGTTTTGGAATTGACAGATACAGGTGGACAATTGAACTGTGAGAAGTGAAATCCCTGTATGTAGAGACACGAGATAGATCTAGGGACTTGACACTTCTTACCTCTTTCCATTCTGTGTGTTACCTTGCAGTTAGCCTTCAGGCAGGAGTTTGCAAATAAGATTGTTATTGTCTGTTACAGATCCTGAAGGGCCAGAGGTACGGGTTCTCTGTGGACTGGTGGTCATTTGGCGTGCTCCTGTACGAGATGCTGATTGGTGCGTCACCGTTCCACGGGGATGATGAGGATGACCTGTTCTACAGCATCCTGCACGAGACGCCGCAGTACTCCCGGATAGACAAGGACTCACAGTCTTGCCTCTCACAGGTATGGGGTACAAGACAACTGTGTTCTCTACTTCAGAGGCTATTCATACTAATATCTTTTATTGTCCTGCTTCAGGTTGTGGGTTTGAATCCTGGACTAGCTGTATCAGTATCTGTACCTGTATAGCCAGGATAACTGTCCTTCAGTGTAACACACCAGCTTTGCAGACACTTTCAGCCATGCATGAATTTAAGTGTTGTAGATAGCCCCACCTGAAGCACCTCAAAGATCCTACCTGTTGATCACTGTAGCCTTGTGCCTCACCATGCAAAGTTCAAATTAATCAGTTTCAAACTCACAGGCTAACTCTTGGTAATAACATTTTGCATGTCAATTCCTAGCATCGAAATCATCATCTTCATGCAATCAAGCAAACAAATTGTGGAAAGTTGCTGATGGTCATTCTGTTCCCTCCAGCTGCTAGAGCGAGACCCGGAGAAGCGGTTGGGTGTGGCAGGAGACATCCGTCGCCACCCGTTCTTTGCGACCACGGAATGGGAGAAACTGGAGAGGAAGGAGATCCCGCCGCCATACAAGCCTAATATTGTGAGTACTACACAGGAAAACATGTTCATCCCCAAAGAAAAAGATGCTATATTCTCTTTGTTTTATCATCTTACATCAATGGAAATACATGTATTAAATGTTCTGAATCATCCAATAAATTTTAGCTATATGTCTGTTCTAAATGTTAATTCTGTTTCCTCCATTTTCTAACAGAGATCAGCCAGTGACGTGAGCAACTTTGATTCTGACTTTACCATGGAGAAGGCACGACTCACAGCCCCGACCAACAAGGACCTGTTGGAGTCCATCGATCAGAACATGTTCTCAGGGTTCGAGTTCACTGCACCAACCATGGCAGACTTCAGCTAGAGGAGACTCATGTAGTTACAGCACAGTCACATTTGTTGAGTCATACGATGACTACAGTATACAATGTATCTGGCTACCCCTCATATATTAGTCATATTGTACTTGCAGATTTGTGGAAGGAAGTACAGAAATGGGACCCAGAACAGGTAATGTCAGCTCTAACAGTTCCACCAGGTACCTTAAACCACCATGTTAAAAACAACACAGTATCATGGAGGCCTTCTCAAGAATGTCTTGATCATCGGGATACCTGAAGTGTGCATACTTTGGGGACTACTGATGCTGGATTAGTAAAGATGTTTTTTTAGATCTGGTGGTATTAGGGTACTCAGTGGAATTATGACAGTTGTTACAGTGCTTTGGAATTCCAAGCAGGGTATAATGTAAATACAAAACCTGTCTTACAAATATGTTATCAACTAGAGTGTCTTATAGGATAGAATGATAATTTTACAGACAAAATTGGTCTATTACTCTGAATTACATCTAATCACTACTGAAAGCATTGGCAGTAGTGCTGCTCCCAAGCAATTATTGTGCAGAAAAGAAACAAACAAATTTGACTTACCAGGTACATGTACATCGCTAGTGTGATTACAAGTACACAATATTACTGTGACTTGAACATCAGACCAAATTGGGTCATTTTTATTCAATGTTGACCTTTCACAAGAAAGGTAAGGTGCTGAATTCAAAGTTAGGATTCGCCTTATAGTTATTAACTTAACATTTTGTTAGTCTAAATTGTCCTATCCTTGTCCTATTCTACTCAGGTAAGGGAGTTTGTTGGTAGTCTTGAAACATTTTCACTCACTCACTCACTCACTCACTCATGGCCACATGCTCCCATTAGGCCTTTGAAAATTGATTGTACATTGTACCAAGAATCTCCATGCCGCTGTATTACCTCTGGATGAAGAGGAACCCAGGGCTAATGTTGAAATAGGTGTCAACATGCCATCTTTTAAACAGACTTTTTTACTCAACAACTGTGGAAAACCCATATTAAGGGTTCAGCCATTGCCAGAATCATGGACACTTACTTTTAAAGAAAAATGATGTGAATTTTGGAAACACAGCTGTGTTACAGTACATCTATTTGTGGAAGCCAGGGGTTTTGCATGTGTGGAAAGGAAGAAGCTACATGTATAACCCATATTATACCATTAAGATTTGTATCTACTAGTAGATAGATTGTCCACAAACAAACCAATCATGACAAGTTTGATTCATGTAAGGAACCAAAGATTGGTTTTACAAACATGGCTGAACATAGATACACAGGGTAGAGTGGTCAGAAACTAGCTAATATGTCTAGATTTTTACAAGTCAAATGTCACTTTTTGGGACCAAGATAACGAAACAAACTTTTTTGACCAAGATAACAAAACTAGTCTAAGAGGAGTCTGGTAGAGCATTGAAGATGTTCAACTGGTAAATTTGTTAGCAGAATCTTCATCTGTAAAGAAATGATACTAAATGTAAATTCAGTCACAACAGAAGAAAAGTACAGTATCATGAATATAAGATAACAAAGAGAGAAGATTTATAGATTGCTATGTACTGCCAGTGACTGCCACTTTAGTGCGAAGTCTGAGTTAAGATGTCCAGTCAAAAAATAGAATAATACAAAGGTGAGATATTCAATGTTGTGTCCTTATAAAAACATTCCACAAGCCTTCTTCAGTTCTTGCCTTGAAAAGTCATGCCATTTCTATGTATATGTCACAGCCAACTAATGAATATATTTCATGGTTGGACAGCAAGCTGGAGATAACAGTTGAGATTGAGGTTTATTGTAACTATGTCTTAGGGTAATGACACTTCTGTAGCAAAATGAAGTATTCATTTATAGCTAGTGATGTTATGAGTTAATCATAGACAATAGAACAATGAGGTGATGGGAACAAGCACAAGAAAGTGGATTAAAAAATTGCCATGATATAATTCTTAATGTCTGTACACAGTTCTTTCTGTACTTCTTTAAATTATTGCATGCTTGGTGACCTGCAGTATACATACATGTAGTAGATAGAGCTGGCCATGTATGTCAACACCAAGGCAGCAGAGAAAGAAGTAGATAGTTCCTGTCCAATTTGATTTGCAGTGCCAATGTTCCATCAGTATTGTGGCAGAGTATTTTATGCCCAAGAAGCTTCTGAGTCATGGATGGAGATGTTTGTACCATAAAGTGATATGAATTATTTAACCAGACACCTTTTTTTTTATTGTACTATGCACTTGATGGGAATATCAAAATTTGAACTGCATTAAACATATCTTGCTCTAACTGAAGATGAGTCTTGTTTGTACCTGTAGCATACCTGTACAGCCCAAAAATATATTTCTGGGCAATAGAACTATGGGATATTGTGCTTGCAGTTGGACAGTTCTTAGAAACCTTGCTAATTCAAAATAAGAACAAGTGCACGATGTTCTTTTCAAACGTTTGTATTTAGTAACATTTTGTGAGATATATATAAGCAACTCTTTCACTAAAACAATATTGATTTCTTCTATTAGAAATCAACATACAAATACAATGCTTACAACATATTAATCAATAACATGACTGCATGTAACTTTACAAAGCCCAACTTTAAAGAGTCAGACACTTGATAATTTACAAAGGTGTCAAAGAACATGATAATTTAGTGAACTCTCAGTGCATTTAGACAGTCATTTGCATGACTGATTTTTCTACCAATCTAGATACAGTTTTCCCTCCTCCAAATCAGAACATGTTACTAAGCTTATCTAATATAAGATATGCTGTAATATTCATGTACGTGTATGTCATTTAGCATTTCAAGAATGCAACATATAACAACAAAATCTGCTATTTAACTCGGCAATATTTTATAGTGAATATACAAGGGTCTACGCTATTATAACATCCACCAACTACCTCCAACTATTAAAAGAGCTTAACGTTACTTATTTTACAACCCAACTCTTTTACCACTTTTCCTCTCTTTGTAATGCTGATTTCTAAGCGCAATGTGGCTTCAATGTGGCATGGTAACAAGTTACATTAAGGCTTTCAGGAGTCAATAGCATTATCAAAATCAAGTTCATATCATATTCAACTGCACAGTCTTTCTCTCAACACCAAAAATTCTTCATCTTCAAACTGCTTTGGCCCAACGTCTAATGATACTTAAGCCACTTTATGGCATATTTTGACAAGGGTGTAAAATAGACCACCTGATTCAAATATGGAGAATTCCAGGAAGGTCAACTCATACAATTCTGGGCATACTATTACTAAGTCACCAAGAAAAGGTGAATGAATCTAAAGAAATTTACCTATGATGCTGCATTCAATAATCTACACTTCAGGTGTCCAGGTGTTCAAGACAATCTTGAGAAGGCTTCGATAACACCATTTATAAATGTAGTGATCTTTGGATACCCAGCTAAATTATAAGAGTTGACATGTCAACTATGCAACAAATTCTCAGTGTAAGGACTTGTCTGGGGAGATGTTGATATCGTTTCGCCTGTAGAATTCCGTCCTCACATGCATGATGCGCACGTGCTTGCGGTCAGGAGGGTCAACGAACTGGTCCAGCTTGTGGCCGTAGTCAGAGGACGACAGTGTGGGAACATCTTTCACTCTCTCCTGAAATGGGTTAACGGGGAAAATGTTACAGTCTGATGAATAACATGTTGTAATGTTACATATAACGTTACAGTTAGTGTCATAATAACATGTCAGTAAGTTACATGTAGAATGGAATAAATGGGCACTGGATATGCCAGACACCACCATCAAATGACGAACAGTCCAAACTGGAAATCTACAATGCCTACCTGACCAAAGACTTTGTTCTAGTTAGCCATGGTAAGACAGGACTGGCAGGTGGTCCAGGATTCGAACCCCAAACCCTATGTTCCATTACAGGCTACTGTAAGTAACCTTAATGCCACCATTTAAGTGACTTTCGTACCTCGCTGTTGACATTGAGCCCCCTGGACTTGGCGTGCTCCCTGTCGTCTCTATGCAGTTTGTTGTTGTAGCCCTGCGGCTGGTGGAACAGTCTGTCGTATGTTGACACTGGGCGGTCCTGGAAAAACATCAAGGGTTAAGGGTGACGTTACGTGGTAGCTTTGTCTAAGATCGATGGGGGGAAATGGGGTGTCAACGTTCGTCTGGAGTTAACGTTAGATCAAAATCAAAACTTTTCAATTCAGTGCACACACTGTACTACGGTTACAATATGGGAACGTTCTTGCTATAATGCCCTTGCTAAGATAAGTTGCTATCAAAGAAGCCCAAGATACGAACTGCAGAAGTATGGTAATCAAATTATCATCGATGTTACCAGACCCTTATGATAACACGCTGGGAAGAGATTTTTGCAAGCGTCTAAAAACTCAACAAAGGATCAAGACTTGTTTTAAGCACCTTCTTATCGTTGTTGAAGTACGTAATCGGCTTGGGATGTTCCCGTCTCGTTGGAACGTAAGAGTACGCGGAGAGGGAGGGGGGCGGGAGCCTGGCAGCGATGCCTGCGTGTTGTCCCTCCAGTGACCGCAGAAACGTCTTGGGCACCTCCGGTAACTTCTCAACCTCCTCGTTAAAGTCGTCCACGGGCTCCAGATACCCGTCGTCAAGGCCTTCTATTCTCGGCATGGCGAATTGATGGGGGAAAACAGGGGAAATGTAGACAGCTGCTGCACACAACAAAGTCTCGCTCCCGTATGCTGACCCGTCTGGCGTGTATGGTTACTAAGCGTCGCCAGGCATCAGATTACCTCATGAATAATCAATCAGTTGTTAAGGCTCTTGCCGTTGGCCAGCGTCATTTTGGCGCGAGAATTGCACGTGCTAGAGCCTGTCTGTACCAACAAATACAATTTGATTTTAATGAGGTTGTCTGTATTCCAAGCGACTCATATAAAAGCAAGATAGATTTTAAACGATTGTAGATTGTTTCCATCATTGGCCAAAGGTTTCTAGCCATTAAATACACCACAACCATGTGTAAACTGTGGTGTTGTATTTACTTACTATACACAAATGACATACAACTCCTCTTAATGTCTTTATGTCTTATTTACTGGTATTCAGCAGAATGTGTGAAACAACTGTAACAGTTAGAAGTTCTTTGGTGCACAAATACAAACAGTGTATATAAAATAGAAACACTTTTAGGAAATCCACACAATAAGGCACTTGACCTTAAGTATCTTTCTAGTTAAAAACTTTGTAGGCTACAAAAATATCTTTGTACACTTGATAACAATGTTAAAAATATGTGACTATAAATACATAAACCAAGACCAAACATTTACAGATCATGATATTTTTGCTCTCCCTATTAATGGAATGTATATTACAAGTTTTTATTTTCTGGTGCACAAAGTGGAATTCACATTAATTGTAGATTAGAGAAAGAGCAGCCACATGTTCATGACATAAACATTGTGCAGACAGTGGTGGGAAGTAGACCCATTGGTCCTGGCTGTATGTACAAGACAAGTGCACCATAATTGGTTAAAGATGAGCAAACCTTTCAAAATACATTTGGAAACTTGAGGTCAGTCTATTATCATCATCATCCTCTGTTACCAAGAACTCTCGAGGATCCACAGTTGCTGGTATTGGGCTACTACTATCAGTCACTCAGTCATATCTTTATTGTTACTTTATCGTTACACCTTACATCATTGATAAGTTTGTCTACTTTTCTTCACAAGGACTCTGCCAGGTGTTTTTGTTTTCAATAGACTGATTGATTGATTGATTGATTGATTGATACCCACTTTGGGAGGAGCACCATGCCCGATTACATGAGGGTACATGCCAAGGATAAAACCAATAATTTGAGCAACTGAACTGAAGTTTGCAAACTTTATTTGATTAGCTTTAGACTTCTCCTCTCACACTCTGGACTCCTCATCAGTCATGGCATAGAAGGGATCGTACGAGAACTGGTCACTTCCTGCTGACTGGTACTGGTCCCCGTTGGCAAAGCTACTGAAGTAGTAGTCAATATCACTCTCGTGTACTGCCTCCGAGTCACTGCTGATACTGTACGGCCTGGGGGGAGTGTTGCGTGCAAAGGCGTTCGTGTACACCGATGCCTCCAGCTGCTGCTCAAGACCTGACAGGTAGACATAGCTCCCGCCGTGGTCCGACACCGCCAGGTCTAAATGTCCCAACCCGGCCGTGTCCAGATCCAGGTAGTCAATACTGCTGAACATCAGCAAGCCTTCGGGGATGTCGGAGACAGAGGGGGCCAGATCTGGCAGCTGGTTGGTGGGAGAGGTGCGGTTGTTGGTGAGGTGGTCCAGGCAGTTGCACGAGGAGCTGGGGACCAGGAAGCCGCTGGCGTTGCTGATGTGGCTGTGGCGACACGGGATCTTCCGCCGCTTGCTCTGGTTCTTGCGGCGCTGGACCTCCTCTTCCTCCTGAGTCTGGACGTCTGCTGTGACCTGCTGGTCACGTTGTCTGCAGGAGCAAAATAAAATTTCAGTATCCTGACTCAATCTAACTCAATGCAAAGCTATTTTCAAAGAAAAGGGACAGACACTTCGCACAGAGAATATAGGTCTAGTGTATGAGAGAAGATTTTGCTAGCTTTTCACTATGTACTGTAAGTCAGGTAAGAAATAATATCCAGTATTTGAAAGTTTTGCTATCTCTCTACAGTTTTAAAAAACATATCTACTCACTTCCTGATTCTTCTCTCGTATAGAACATACACCACAGCTGCCATGTAGACCAGACACAGGAGGAGAGGCCACAAGACAAGGTTCACAACTTTGCCACTGGTCAACTGTGGGAGGAAAGAGGTGTGAGGACATAATAAGGCTTCCACTTACATTAAAAAAATCCTGGATTCGGACTACAGCTGACAAAACTGGATTCCAGACTAATTCTCAAGATTTAAAGCAGCAAAAATGTTACATTTTCCTGAAGAGAGCTTGGAAGGCAAAAGGATGATCAGGCCTGCTTACCGTAATTTCCCTCACTACATGTTCTGGGTTTGTTGGGTTGTAGTAGCAGGGGTAGGTTGTGTTGGCCTGCAAAATAAACATAGGAAGACTAAGACATCTGGCATAAGGCAATTAATGCACCTTCTTTTTATTGTTTTCAATTTTTATTCAGGCTTGTATGGATGTTCTGAATCATTTCATTGCATTGTCATTACTAAAACAAAAGCTACTATTGTATTATGCTGTTGATAAATTCTATTAGAAATGGTCCCTAACTACACAGCTTAAGGAGTTAAGCATACATACAGTTAGGCAGGAGCACCATATACTAGTACTACATGTATATGTACATAAGTTAGTCAGAATTCTTTTGATAGTAATTGGTTCAGAGAGATTCCATTTGTGAAAATTATCAAAATCTTCTAACTAATCGTATCAGCTTTTTATGGAAACACAATGATAATTTTAGGATAACACTTGATAATGTTTGACTAACAAAGCAGCCATAGTTGCCTGTCAGCCAAACTGATAAAATGAAAAGAGTAAAATACAGGACACAATGTTTTTATGTCCATTGTACATCCTACCTTCTCATACTGAATCCTGTAGCCTTCAGCACAAGACTGTTTGTTGTAATCATCCTTCCATCCATCCGCACAGGGTGAGAATGGGTCTGTGAACAGGGCATGTCTCCCAAACGTCAGAGAACACTGCAAGGAAAATCAACAACATTAAGCATTATGTACCTCAAGCTATAAACTTCCCAACAATTCCTGAATTCTACATTCCTTATACACACGTATCTATTACTAGTATTACTAATCGCTTCTTCTTTTGGCCGATTATACACTCACACTCATACTCAGTGCTGGAGATAGATATGGAAATATATTGGCATCTGGTTTAATTACGATACTGAAAAGCTGTTCTTCAAATGGCCACTTCCAAAAAAGAACAGACGGTTTGTATACTAGTAGTTTGTACAGGTTCAACATACCATGGAAATTCCCCTGGCTTCTTTCAACACTTACAATGTCTGAAAACGGTGGACCATGGCCTAACATCCTGTCATTATGACTGTATTCGTCTCCAATAGCATGCATGTTGGTGAGTGACATCGAATTCTCAACCCTCTGGTCCAAGAAAGGTTACTAACGACTGGACCATGTCAGGAACGTGGCAGTCCTCACAAACATGACAAGAGAGTGAACAATTCTGCCAATGACCAGAGGAAAGCCCTTCCTTGCTGTAAATATAGCTGTTGTGGGTAGCAGGAATGCCTGCGGTTATCCTCCATGGGATGACAAGGACGGCATTCGGACGTGCCTATGGGTAAGAGTCATTCTGCGCCCTTACACCTACGCACGCTATTCTGGGCAGCGCTGGACAGAAATAGCTGCCAAGGGTCAAAATAGCCAGTCTGTCGATATTTTAGGACATGACGAGGGACACTGGGAGAGTGATTTGTCAAAGAAATACTCATGAAATTTAGAGGCATACGCATGCATGTAAACACATACAATTTATAAATTCTTCAATGACAGGAACTGTACTTAAAATACTTCCTCATTACAAAGAATTTTTTAAGTGCCAATCTTGTTATATGATACTTTTTTGACATTGACGTGTAAATCCAGCTATGTCCAGTTCAAACCAGAAAACACAACAACTCTGCATCATTACAGAAGTATGACAGCAGATAGGTTTCACTGTCAGTGTCAGAATATTATCAACCACATCTGTCTACAAAAAGGGCCTTTCCTGTTTGAACTGGTAGGTTTAAAAATACACATTGTCAAGCACATGCAGACGTATGTGAGACAAAGTTGAAGCAGAAATAATCATGGCTCCTCCGGGATGACGTGAATATGCCCTGCCACATGTCAGGAATTAAGGAACCACCCTGGCCAAATATAGCCAGCAGTTCAACCTTTTTGTCATTGGCAGAAACATTGCCAGCATTCCTGGCATGGCTGGCTTATCATCTACCCTGGGATATGGATCTCTACAAATACTGGTGGCAGTATATCTGTTTTCCCTTCTGCTTTTTTGTGTTTTAAAAATGTTTGTTTTCAGGTCCTCTACTGCTGCTTAAGGTAGATCTAGTTTGTTCTTCATGTAAGAATCAACATCGTGACCAAGTTTAAGGAAATGAGAGATGACTTCTGAGAAGTAGATGACTGGATAACCTTCTGTGTCAAGGCCAGCTATAACTGAACCAGACTTGGCCATGATGTGTACAAGGAAGGAAACAGTATCATGAATCAGTGTAACATGTACCAGCACTGGAGTACCCCCGGTAGTATCAGCTAGCCTGGAAGTCAGTCTGTTGCTAAGGCCTGTACAGGCTGCCTTCTCTACTCCAGGGATAACATACCACCAAGGGTACTTTGTTTCAGGTCTTCCCCAGAGGGGTAGGCAAAATATATTTGAATTGAAAATGAACTTGACAGGGCATCAAAGTTTGAATAAAGCTTAAAAGAATAAATATAAACGTAATTGAAAACTTTGTTATCATGTCTGAGTGTGCGACAGTAAACACTGGATCTTGTCTCCCCAACGATCAAGAAAAGGTAAAGGCACGAGGTTACTGGTAGTAGGTAGTTAAGTAGTAGATAGGTAAAACCGGATCTATCATGCAGAGAAGTGTGCTGAAATTGCAGTCACATGGCTGGTAAGGATGCAGCTTAGAGTGTTGTTGAAGATCAGAGAAAGTGCTCTAGTAGTAGGATAGGATCAAGCAAGATAAACTTATGATAATCTTACTTGATCACAGGGTTATCAATTCACCATATTTGGCTAATCTGCATTAACAGAACTAATAAAAATATAGGGTAGAATCACACACCATGGTTTGTATTGGCATGGCTGTTACATGAGAGGCATGGTCCCAGTGGATCCCGAAAGGTCAATATTTGCAGAATGACATCCAGAATTGGGGTCCCCTTACTGTTATCAGTAACAGTACTCTCTGTGTCTCTCTGGTTTCAACTCAGATATGCTGCCCTGGCTGACCTTATGGCTTAGTGAAGTGGTTTTACTTTACAATTTCTGGTACAAACAATAATAAATTGTACAAAACTAGTGTTTCACCCCTTCAAGAGGTTCAACATTTTCTCTCTCCTTCCTTCAAGGTTCTCTCCCCTCATAGTAGTTACAATCCTTTGCTGACATCTGTTTTCCCATATATTAGATATTTCTGACAGATTGATACTTTCCTTTAAGGTTTAATATTATCAAATGATGTGTGTACAATACACAAGTGGTTTTTATGGAACCACAGACATACCAAAAACAATTACTCATTACTGAAATAATGAGAACAAGATATCATTCTTGGAAATAGTGTTGTGCCTTACCTGTTCACAGTACATTAGAGCTTGTTCGTTTTCCATCAGAACCACTGGGATGTCTGAGTTCGCTGCAGTGTGATGAACCTGAGTAGATAATATAATATTTTACTACAAATGAAAACCCACTACTGTAAATTCTCTTAATTTCACAGCATCTACCTTTTGTGGCACAGTGAAAATACAAAAAATTATCAGTATTTGATATTTGCTGAGACAATATAATGTAATACTAGTATGTAATAGCATCATTTTCTATGAAAATGACTTCAGGCTGCTTACATAAACCTGCAGACAAGGCTGGAACACATCTGTGTGGCTGCTGCAGCTGCCCTCGTTCAGGTAGTGGGTTGCGACGGTCTGACAGCTCGACTCCACAAACTGCTGACCTGGTGGGGAAATATGAGGGAGTGAAAAACATGTAGTGAGTTTGTTCACGTCATTGATACATGCAGCAAAAGCATATCATTGAAGTGAGAGAAGTTGAAAATAGAGTTCTCAAATTTTGTCAACAAAAATGGCAAACTCTGCATCAAAGTTTGGACTTCAGGGAGAGATTAATTTCAATGTAGCATAACTACTAATAATTTACATGCTTGTACACTCCATGTTTAGAGCTAATAATTCACACCTAATAAAATACTTGCTACTTGATAAGTTTGACAAATTTTTTAGGTTGGCCGTTGGCTAGGTCACTAATAATTTTCATCTATGATTGAGTACTAGTAATGTTTAGCTACATTCAAATAAAAGGTTAGGGTGTCATTTAAAGTAACCCCCTGACCTCCTACTGCTATCAAGCCAAGGAGCTATCAAACTGTGTTCCTATCCAGGAGACCAGGACTTAAAATCTATTGTTTGTTTACCTTCGTTGTAAGGCCTCACGACGTAAATTCCTATCAACACCAACAGAATAAACCCCATCAACACCACGGGCAAGGCGAAGATCAGGAACAGTTTTAGTTTGTCCGCGACTTTCTCCTTCAGAATTTCCATCTTGGTCATCCGTTTGTGCCTCTCCCTCCTCAGCGCTAGCCTCTCAAGTTTCTTCTTCGCGAAGAGCCTCTTCCTGCCCCCGGCACGCGGCCCGGACCCGTTCGGTGCCCCACCGTTCGGTATGTGGCCGTTAGAGGGATGGGTGTGTGAACTGGAGCTCATGTTTGCACAGTTTGCTGGGGGAACACGTAACAAGAACGCTGTTGTTTTTCACGCAGATGCACAAACAACACTCAACAGTCAAAGTCAACACCTCTTACTCTGGAAACAAGTTTGTTTTCGCGCATGCACAGCTGGATTTGAAACTTTTACAGCCATAACTCTCAAGGAAAATTAACATACATACTTGCTGTTATAGAAATTGAAGTAAAAAGTTCCCAGTTCGGGCCACTTTTCTCGAAAACTAATCTAAAGTTGTTGGAATTTGTAGTTTTTCTTCGTCGTCCGCCATTTTGTTGCTTTGCTTACTGGAAGATGTCAAGAACTAAATATTTGTGGGGGTCGGCGACATTGATGAATTTATATTTTGGCACAATTATCGCAACAAATACTGTCTTGTAAGATGCTAGAATATAAATGAATGAAGTTTGAATAATATCATTATAGTATAAGTGACTATTATCATTACAAAAGCTTTTCAAAAATAGTTATCATATTATTACTCCCATATGTTTACTAGTAGACAGTGGCATCTTCTAACAACCTTTGACCGTATAGTGCATCATGGGAATGCTTTACCGCCAATTTTGAATATTCCGGGAGTCGCCTTTTGCCTTTCGTTCCCACTTCCATCCCTTCGTGCACTTTGTCGTCTTCAAACTGAATTTTGTCCACTGTCAGTTCACTTTAAACTTTGCAGAGGACAAAGGAGTGGCACCAGGTCAGTAGAATGTAGGTCGATATAAGAGACAACTTCGTTTTATGATCTTTTTTGAAGGACGGCCCCAGAGGGGACGGTCCGACATACCAAGGACATTCTGTAAAGCGTCATTGACTAACAAATTCACTCTAACAGCACAACAAAGTATTCAAGACATTCAAGCGCGTAACTCTTCAAATAGAAGTTCAGTTCGGAGCTACTGTTTCATAAACACATTTGAAGGGCCTTGCTTGACAGATATGTAACTTTTCATGTGATGGCTCAGTGCAGACCCAGGTAATACTCATTACTGATTCTGTCTATTTATTCGTCACTTCATTGAAAAGAAAATATCCAGAGCTAGTGTTACTAAGAGGCTACTGGCCAACCTTTTGCTGGTGCCGCTCGTCACCGGGTTGGGTCAAAAGCCTACTAAGAAGAGGACCTTCGGATGAGCCAAGGACATACGCTCAGGTATCCGAACATCAGAGTATAAGGATTGTCTTCCGGAAAGCCGCCTTAGTCACGTTTTTTATCCAGTCCGATAATCACTGCATAAGCTGAGTACAGGAAACCTGGGTAGACTAAACAGCGAACGGTATCGTGGTGAGGAAGTGACGCTATCATGTCCAGTTATTCTCTTCTCTTCTCTATTATCCTCTATCGTGTCGACGTCGTTAGCGATGTCATTTTTTCCTGTACAATGAAACAATAGTCATTGTGACGAAAATGTGAAACGATTTATCGTACATGTGATAAAACCCATGGTGGGAAAGTTGATTTGATATAGCGTTAACTTGTTCGTGCGGGACACTTTCATTGGTCGGAAGAACATGACTTCTTTTACGATCATTATGTCTTTTGACAGAATCATAGCTAAAACAGCTACTAGTATAGTTATATGTGACTACAAAGTTGATTTTTTTTCTAAGTCCATCAGTGTCTTCCCGATCTTTGCCCATTATCATGGAATTGTGATATTTTGGGTTGACGTATCTGTGCTCATCCATGCATCCTTTCTGGATGACCTGTTTACGTAATGACGGACAGGTAAGGACGTGACATGACGTTACTTCCGGAATGTCAGGGTCGTTCTCCGCCGGATGTGACCCTGTCTTTACGTCGTGTCACTGACAGTCGCGATGTCCTTTTGTTGTCACCTGAGGTGTGACAGGATGTTCAGTGGTTGGCGACGGTTGTTTGGGAAGGAAGTATGTGCGACAAGAACAATAGGGTAGAAACCGCAGGACGTTTGAATGAAATACATGTATTTGCCTTTACACCATCTGACCATCTCAAAATGTCTTTTCTAGCTGTTAGAACAAATGAGGCAGTAAAAAAAAACATGATAATTTTCCTTTACATTATCTACTTTGTAAGAATTGCGTCTCGCTCCCTCGTTCCTTCTCGTACGCCTCCTTAATTGTCTCCAGAAACCCTACCGACCCGTCAGGGAGAAGAGACGTATAAGAGAAGTACAATATAAAAGAGTAACGAAAGAACACGACAAGCAAACAGATACACATCAACTTCACATTTGTTTGGAGATGAAAAATAGTTGGACTGCTAAAAAATCTTCGCTCATGTCAAGACATGATCAATATTGCTTATTCAAATTCAAATTCAAAGCCAGATTTATTTCATAACGTAGTTGTCAGGATAATGTTTATCTTCATGTCGCTTTTTTTCTTACAAACTTACAGGGACTGTCATATCCTGTATCTTGTGTGTATAGTTTGTAAAGGGGAATGCCTGGGGAATGCCGGACGTCCTGTACCATGTGTATAGCCCAGAGCTTTGGCCCAGAGCAAATCATCGGAGCGATCTGTGACGCGTGACGCAAAGGGTCGCCGTGCAACAGCGCCGCCTAGCGTGCAATAATTACAGGAGACCAACTCCAAGTTCGCTTTTCGCGCACCGTTACTTTTTGTTTGCGTCTGTGCTAACCGAGATGGGAGATGTTGAGTTCGCTGAACTTGTTCTGGGTGTACACAGGTCACGTCTAAGTACACGTCAAATGAATAGCGACAAGGAGGTCGCGGTTTGGACTTAGTAAAGTAAAGCGCGCCCACACACATCCGCTTTCGCGGTGCGCTGCTATGCTGCCGTTCTTGGCAAGTGTTCCCCATTGTCCTTCGGCTGAAACGTCGGCAAGCGTTTATACAGATAAACCTGTCGTCGGTGGGACCGAACATCTGCATTCCTTCTCTTCAATTTCACACAGAACACATCACCGTCAAGTCCCGGGCCTTCCCTGGCGCGCCGGAATGTCTTGAAATACCTTGCGTCGCAAGGATCTTTAGACGATCTCAAAGCATCTAGCCTTCAGGCTGGCGAAACTTTTAGACGTGCAAGAATGTTGAAACTGACAAATCTTGTTTTACGCGCCGAAGGAGGCCCTGTTGGGTCCTTCAAGTCTTCGGTCGAGGGTCCTTGTAGAAATACGGTTACCCAGAAACTAGACATACGACAAAGAATTAACGCGTTCAGTGTCAAAATTTCAAGGACTGCTTTAGACAAGACGCACATGTTCTGGCTAATTGTCCCTGATCATAGGCAAATGACCTACATCGTGTATACGTTAAAAACAATATACATTTATAAGTAAAGAAACGTTTGCATCCTTTTTTTCCTGCTTCCATCAGTGTCATTTTATGTTACTTCTTTCAAACATGATCAAACTTTAAGAAGTCTTGTTGATCGTAACAAGCCCCCGAGACGTGCGAGGACTCACTATCTTCGGCTTTATCCCACAGCGAGTGTACATAGAGGTTATTTATAACTCAACCGTGGTGACTGTATAATCAATGAAAAATTCAAAAGTTTACAAAAGTACCAGAATTTTCTAGAGAGCGAGGAGTCACCGGTCATGTTCCTAAACTAGCACTGAGCATAGTTTTGGAGTTACAAATATTCGCGCGCCCCCGGAATTACGCGTAGGTCCGGGGGAGGCTCAGGGCCAGCCTCAACCCATCAGCTGACGTGTTTGGGAGGTGATGTCCATAACGGGACATGATTAACGTAACAAGAGCCTGGTCCAGTGCCAAAAATGGTGGCATCCACGGTTGTTTTTGGAGATCGGATGCCCTTCTGGCTAATCTAAGTGTTGACGACAAGTGTGTCGAGCCCTGCGCCCGGCCAATCCGGTTTCTCCAGTCGGAGCAACAGTGCGCGCCATTTGCTCGACGTCAGCGCGAAGATTAATAAATTTGAATAGGTTCATAGGCAAGAAGATTCCTGAAATCACTTCAGCAGCAGACGCCGGCCAAGCCGTGTCCGCTCTTCGGGAGAGAGCACAGAGTGAGAGACACATTTTCCAAGTCGAACGTCGTGAACCTGCGACGACTACAGACCCACCGCGGAACGGACAAGTCTGAAGAAATCCTCGCCCGCGAGAGATCCACTACCACCACACCCCCTGCTAGTTACACTCATCGGTCACGGACTTCCTGATATTCTTTCCAGCTGTGAAATCAGGACCGAAGCGATCGCTGGGATATTAGACAAGCATCCGCTGTCTGGGACCCGAGCAACAAGTTTTCCTGTGGATTCACCCCGGCCTACCAGCGTTTTCCGTCGCGCTAGGTCTCCCCTACCGGAAGTTTGCCCGAGCCTATTGATTTGTGCTGTAGACAATATAAAACGTGTGGCCCGGATCTACCACCATGCATACTAACGAGCGCAACCCTGCCGACGGACCGGAGGAAGAGGAGATGCCGGCCACCGAACGCGATCTCGCCGAGGACGCGCCATGGAAGCGCATTCCAGAAGAACACGTTTACGAGATGGTGCAACGAGCACCTGAAGAAGGCCAACAAGAACATCAACGACTTGGAGACGGATTTGAGCGACGGTTTGCGGCTGATCGCGCTGATCGAGGTGCTGTCCCACAAGAGGATTCCGCGCTACAACAAGAGGCCCACCTTTCGGGCCATGAAACTAGAAAACGTGTCGGCAGCCCTGCAGTTTCTAGAGGACGAACACATCAAAATTGTCAATATCGGTGAGTGTGTGTCAGTTTGTGTTCTTAAGGTCGCCTTGATCGTAAGGAGTAAATTGTCCGAGAAGTCTTGTTTACGGGTGGGTGCGTTCGTGTCAAGTTGGGCGAGTGTGGCGGCCATGGCGGCCGGCGACAACACACGACCGTCCCCGTGCATGTGCACCGTGAACGGTGTGCGTCCTCCGTGTTTTCTAACCTTAATTATCGCCTGAGTAGCTTTCTTAGCAAAACATCTTCCCACATGACTGTCCTGACACGCTGTACCCGATCTTCTTAGGGGATTTCTCGTGTATTTGGAGGGGAACCGGGCGAGACGTCATTTGGGTGGGGAGGGGCGTTCCCGTATACACTTCCCGGCCACCAACACACACCCAACATTAATATGTGCATGTTGGAGAATATATATCAGATAAAAACCGGATAGGTCACTCGACTCCAAACCCAGAATTCTGCACAAGTGGCGAACAGAAGTGGGGAGGGCATGGTCTGGTTAGGCAGGATACAGACACTGGGTACTGTTGCAGTGTTTGCGAGAGGTGGTGACCTCAAAGTTTAGGAATCCCGTGAAGCTGCATAGGTAGGAAGTGGTATGGACGTGTCAGGGTCTGATACACCGTCTGGACCCAGGGGCGAAATTTAGTCCATGACTCCCAGACTGGCATTTAAGTAGGATTGACCGCTGTTTGTTCTCAGTGGTAACTACCACAAACACTGCTGTTTGGCCAGGTAAATAGACATGAGAGACTTGACCAGTAATAATACCTGGCAGTGTTTAAGGTTACTAAGCTAGCTCAGACAGAAGTGTACTGGTTCCAACAGTTTTCCCATCCCTTACCCACACCAGGCTGAAACTCAAGAATTTTAATATGGAAAGTCCATTTTTAGTTTCAAGAAATGGTGGTCATTCTTATGCACCCTGCATGCTTTCAGACAGACTGTATGTAACCCAAGCCCCAACAGGTGAGACAAGCCTTTTTTTCCCGCCCAAACCCTTTCAAGTAGGGGGTAGAACCAAACAAAAGGTCCACCGTTAGCTGGCCCACTTTTAGTGTTCTTAATCAAACAATAGAATGATTTTTATCAGTAATACTGTATATTGTGTATAGGTCTGAAAATTACACAGCAGCTTGCATGTGTGGCATCAGGATGGGACTACTGGTCCAGTATTAAAAAAGTCAGTGACCGCCACTGTATCCAGTTTGTTTACACAATTGATCGGTGTGAAGAACACAGAGACTTGGGGGAAAACCTTGCATAGCAGGCATTCTTTCTCAGATGCGCAATGTTAGCTCACAATGGGCTGACAATTGGCAAGGTGAGAGGACAGCGGGCCTACGCAACATGTGCTAAGATTTACCTTTTACTTCATAGGACGAATATGCCCCACATAGCCGCTCAACAAGTTGTAGTTATGTCTCCCTTTACTTTAATGACGTCACGCAGGAAAGGGGACTCCAGCCAGGTATGCCACCATGCCCAAATAAAGTAAAAAAGCAAAGGGAAGTGACATCATTCCGGTAACAACACAACAAGTCCGCAGACAGCGCACTACTTTGCTATTTCTATGGGGGTCGCACCACTTGTAGAGCACGACCTGTTCTTGAATGGGCTAGAAAATTTTATGCATGCTTTGACCCAACCCTTTGCTTCCTTAGTACTGTATCTGTAGTGTTTTTATGCTGATGTCATACATTCTCAGGACTAATCTCTGTCTTTAGCCATGGTCCAACAGTTCTTTCTTCAATACTTTGCTCTCTTGCCAAGAAAACCTATGTCTGCTGGAGTGTCTGTTTATCCAGAGTGAAAGTGTGTGGTGGAATCCCACAGACAGCAGCAAATAGTGGGGCAGATAAGATCCCCAAGTTTTTGTTTGGAGTGTTTTATTCGGCTAGGTAAATGTTTGCCACCTTTTTGAGGGTGTGCAAAGGCATGGTGGGTAGTTGTGTTTCCGTTGGCCGTGTTTTCTCTAGAGTCTAGAGCCCTGAGGGTCTACAGGAAACTTGTCGGATGTGTAGATGTGAGCAGGATGGGTGGTTGAGTGGACAGTATGTCCCCATTTCCTTTCGGAAGCCACTGATATGCCTGTTGCCCCCCTCCCCACCTAGGTAAAGTGTAGCATCTTGCTTTCACACTGCCCAGTTAACTGGCATGATGAGTTTATGACACTGCATTTTGTTTGTCAAAGAAACCTGTTGGCACATTACCCACTGGTAGCTTATTCCCACATGGTATGGTAATCATATGAACATCATCATGTTGTCTGTTGCAAAATTATGGCAATTATCCAAAGGAGGGTCCATTTGGATTGAGTTTTTGTACAAATAAATGTTGGTTTCAGGTTCAATGACTACATGCACAATTCTGTATAGGAAAACCTCCCTGAAAAGCTGAAATACAAGTCATTCATTGTATCTGAATGACAATATGTCCTAAATGGTTTATTTTGAATGAAGAATACTGAGGTTATCACACATTTCTAGTATGTTGATTCTAAATACAACTAATTTGAGCCTGGCGTGGATGAATTACTAAGATTTACGAACCATATAAATAAATCTGCTAACAGAAGCCCTGTTTGTTTGTGGCTGTTTGCACACACAATCATACTTGAGAAAATCTGGCCTGTGACCTGTCCTCACCTCCCCGATGACATGGTACAGGCCCTGTCCAGACACCCATGACAGGGGAGAATGCTTCAGTCCACATTCTTGCTTTGTGGGGGAATATCAGATGTACAGGGAGGGGAGGGAGGGGACAGACCTACATCACACTGGAGTTAGTCACAGGGCAGCAGCAGCACCCTCTAATCATGTCGGCCACATTTCTAGGCCATCCAATGATTGTCTGCGGTGCTTCTGCTGTTATGGTTCTGAAGATTACTTTTTTTGTTGCATAACTTTTTGTTAATATAAATGTTAGTTATTTTCTAATGGGGGACAGCTGTTGAAACCATTACAGCTGAGTCCTTATTGGATCCTGTTACCAAATTTACTACAGCTCTGCACCCTGTGACAGCCCTGGCCAGCCTTTATCAGTGGAGCCTCTAGGGAGGGATACTTATTCCTGCCATTTTCCAATGAGCCCAAATATTTGCACAGTTGGAAAGGATACCATGACAATAGAATTGCCTTAATGATTGTAATACATGTACACTTGTATTTTTGAATTAGAAGAGATGGAATTATTGACACCTTTGATAAAGAAATTTTCTCAAAAAAAAAAAAAAAATTGCACTGCATAGAAAAAAAATGATATCCACATACCACATAATGGTGCCCAGTTGATACATGTACAACTGGTGTTTAGAAATACAGTACCCACTGCCAGGATACTAATTTAAAGCTATCCTTTTTACTTCTTCATCTCTGATCCACAATAATATGGTATTGAACGCAGGCTAAAGGTACCCTACTGTTTTGTACTATTGTATGTTTTGGGGATGTTTTGGACCTTGGTATGCAATTTTACATGTTAATTGTCTGGGATAAAGACAGCTTTCAGGACTGAATGAATAACTGATTGTTGTGTAGAATAGAAAACAAACAGTATTTCAAAGTAGACAAAAATGGTAATTTCTTGTAAATTGTCTTGTTTTCAATCCTTAGGGACTTAGTTTTTCTGTATTTTTAGTCTCAGTAGTCTTTAAAAACAACCTCACTGAAATATATCCACTTCAGAGTTACATTTCCATTCAACCATGGCTTGACATGTAAGTGGGTGGATTTTTGCATTTCCCGGAGTGAGTGCTGTAATGGTCCAGTAAATTGTCTAGGCTGGCCCCTTTGACTAGCAGAAGGCTAAAATTGGACCCTTGCATTTAGATGTACCGTCAATATAGGGCTTTTTGGCAATGTTTCAGCCTCGCACTTCCACCAGTAAAGTATCCAAGATAGAGATAAATGTTACAGCAAACAGCAGAGGCCGTAAGTTTCATCTAATAGGGACCAAACTTTCCTCTCTCATTATCCCGACTGACCTTGGTAGAGGCCCCATCATCTCAGGGTCATTGGCAGGGATGTAAATTTCTGCACCCCTTTCAGAGATGCCCGGAACATGAACTCACAGGAATATTGGCAGCTTCCACTGTTCAAAGAGCAGTTTTCAACCATGACTGGTGTCGAACAGAGCATAAATGTACCAGTGACGCACGTTGGACCAATATTGAGGAATCCAGACTGCCTGAAAGTCAATTTTCAAAGTGCTAGTAGCAAGTATTGCTCTCTGACTGCTCTGTACAATCTATAAGATATTGTCTGCTCCAGCTGGCAACTGCCACTTGGTTGTCTATTTTTGTCCCTTCACTGACTTCAGTGTCCTAAACTTAAAGCATGGTGGACCACATTTTGATAGGGGGGAGGCAAAACTGTAGATAACGTAATGTATATTACATAATGTTTCAAGCAAGTTTACTGCTTATTAGAATAAGATCTGCTCAGTCCTGACATTGTTTTGTCTCAATTTCATGCCTGTAATGTACACAACAAGGACACAAGCCCCCTCAGGCCAGACTAGACAGTAGTAGTCTAGCTACAGAAGGGAATGTAGCATGTTTGTCTAGCTCCATGCACCCGGAGGATTACCCTATAGCTATCATAGTTATGATAAATGATCTACATTACAAAATACCCCTAGGGAGGGAGCTGACAACTGGTAACAGTTTGTTTGGGGTTTTCCTTTTAATAAAAAGCTCTGCTTGTATGATATGTGTTTTCCCTCAAGAGTGATTAATACCTGCTTTTCATATTTTTTTCACCCTTGCTATATATTATTCATGTACTGTAAAAGGATGAATTGTTTATTTTCTATCAGTGATAGAAACACATCACTGGTTAGCATGACTAACCAGATTTGTAGTATCCTTTAGTGAGGTATCACAACAACATCTGTCCAAGGCCAAAATTAATAATTCAGTGAACGATAGAGAAGATAAGAGAAAGTTTCCTAGGTGTGGGACAGGTCGGTATACTATTTTTAGATGTAGTGGTCTGTATTTTTCTCTCTCT